ACCAAGATGACTGCTGCTCATTTGCCATATTTTGACGGTGACTATTGGACCGGTGCTGCCAAGGATGTGATTAAACAGATCGAGAAAGCAATTGAAGACTCGAATGGTATGAGCATGACGAATGTGTCGAAGAGAACATTGCAATCCATGGGACACAGAAATCCATCTGGTCATGCCATTAAGGATATTCTGCTGATGCAGAAGGTAAAAATTTACAAACCATACTATTTTAAATCTGTTTAGTATGGATTTCTATTATGGTCACTAAATATTCGATTTCGTTTCTTCCCGCTTTCGCAGCTGGGCCAAAGTATATTATCTATGAAGGAGGATTTCATCATTGCCCATCTGCAGTTTGTCTGTGTATGCTGCTATCAAGCCATATTAGACGCTTGTCGAAGGTCTTGCCCTCTGTGTCTAAGCTTTCAGCTTTGCGGAAGGTAATTTGTCAGTGTTTATGCATTTTTTCGTCATCTTCGGAGCTTCTACCGATGTATGTGTTACTCATTGCGCTTTACGCTTCATGTCATCTTCCAGGTGCCATGATACAAAACAAAGTACGTACAAGAACTCCACTCACACATCATGGAAAGGTGAAAGGCATTTACTCTGTAAGGTAAGCACCTAGTGCTCGTGGTTTTAACGTTTTCGTTACTGCTATTACGAAGGGGTTAGAGTATCTATGCATATCTGTCCTTCTTCCAGAAAATGGTGGATGATCTTTCTGATACTGATGATAAAGATGCAGACATGGGCAATGGTTTATTTGAAAATAGGTATCAGTTTTTGATCTTCTGTCAGAACAACTATTAGTTTGACACACTTCGTCGGACCAAGCATTCGTCGATGATGATCCTTTATTAACTTCACAATCCGGCGGCCTTGCTTGATGCCACTACTACAACTACTACCTGCTCTATTTGTAACAAGGACGCATCAGCAGAGCACTGCTGGCATTGCGAGACCTGTTCCGACTTCTTCGTTTGTTCCGCATGCTACTGAAGAGACAGATGTTCCTCGCATGTTCATGAGTTGACTCCTCATTCTTCTGCCGTCGATTCTTAGACCGAGAACGGCGAAGCTACTATGACGAATAATCTATCGGTACTAACATATTGTCCATGTTAAGACAGGTGATTCCAATGAATGCTAATAACATACAATGTTATCTGATTGAAACAGAAACTGATGGAACTGTTGATGCATGCTGTTCGGTGTCGCTACCGCTGCCCCGACTCGAATTGCAATGGCATGAAGAACCTATTCTTCCATACAAAATGGTTCACTACTAGGGCTCCCGGAGGTTGTAGGCACTGTAAGAAGGCATGGCTCATACTGAAACTTCACGCCCGAATTTGCAAAGATTCCGACTGCATCGTACCGCGGTGCAGGTACGACAGACAACCACATGACCTGTGTCGAATGCTTAAATAAATCTAAAACATTTTGACATGAAAATGATTTTTTTTTTTACTTTGAATTCTTTAGGGACATAAAGCAGTTTAAAGAATCATTGGCACGGAAGGCTGCAGCATGAAGGAGCAGGGAATTCGGATCTTGGCATGTAAGGTGGTGTTGTGTTCTAAAAATCCGAAAAATGAATTTCATTGAACAAACAAACTTTCTTACGATAATCGTAAGATTATCTTCTTAAAACATTGCATTTTGCTCATGTTAAACTCATGACAAAACAACAGCAATAATAACATTGGATGTTTAGTTGCTCATAAGGCTCTTTTTTCTTTTAATTATATGATATATTGATAGTGTACGATTTTATACGTTATCTTTTCCGACTATAGAATGTTGATTTGTTAAGTGCCTTAACTATTAAAAATTATAAAAATAGTCCTTTGACTATAGAGTGTTACTTTATTAAGTCCATTGATTATTAAAAGTTACAAAATGGTCACCCGACTATTTATTATGTTCCAAACTTGTCTTTTTTTCGTTAAATAATTGGCGGTTGTCTAAGATAGACGTTAACATGGTGATTAGAATATGATAATTTTTTGAGATTCTGACGTTATATATTATCATATCACAGTCAGCATGTTATCGTTCAACTAAAAATATTATTAATTTTTTAACGAAAAATGTCGGGTTTAAAACATAATGAACAGACAGATGATCATTTTGTAACTTCTAATAGTCAAGGGACTCAATAAACTAACACTTTATAATTAGAAAACCATTTTGCAACCTTTAATAGTCGATAAACTTAATAAAACAATACCATATAGTCGAGTACTCTTTAATTTATGAAGTTTCTTTATTTTAAGGTTTCAGAGCTCTATTTAAAATTTAGTGTTTCGGTATTTAAGTTTTAGGATTTTAAATTTAGAATTTATAGATATAATTTAATTTGTTATTTTTAGAATTTATAATTTCGGATTTTAAATTTTAAAAGTTCAAGATTAATATTAGAATATTTATATAAAATGTTATTTTTGAATAGTTTGGGTTGATAACAAGAAAAATGAAGTTTTTGTTCAAAAGTTTATTAATCAATTGATAATGTAGACACATCTTACAGACATAATAAATTAAACTTAAGATCGATATTCTTTTTATTATTGAGACCGCTTAATAAATTAGTATAAAATAAATTTTATATAATTTGTGTATTATATGTCTTGATATGAAAAGAATAATTTCATTCCATTGCCTTCCCAAAATATGCGTAGGCAGTTTTTCAAAGTGAAAAATTAAATCTGTTTCCGTCCAAATAAATAGTATTTTTATTTGAAAAGAAATCACGTGTATGTGTATGTACAAGATCACGTTTAATAATAACAGTAGTACGGCGAAGCCTGCTTTGACCATTCATTCATGGTTGCAATTTCATTGTGCGTTTAGTTCACGGAATATAAATTTATTAGTGGGAATAAAAGATTATTAGGGAGTAGAATTACTGAGAATGTATTTTGTGTTTGGTTGGTTTAGTAGTAATGTAAGATGGTTGTTTGGTTAAAGTAATAAAAGATTATTAGAATGTATATTTGACAAAATTGTCCTTATTATATATTTATTTTTTTAACAATTTGAATTCTACTATAATATTACTATAAAATATTTATATATTTTTTTAAAAAAAAATTAAATTCATAAAATTTATATAATTTTTTTTACAAAATTAAAAATATAAAAAGGTTTAATGAAATGGTAAAATTTTATTTTAACCTCTAAACTTCATATAAAATTTTAATTATATACTTTTTTTGTAAATCTAAAATAGTATAAGGATAAATTTGTAATTTAACATTCGTAGAATTTTTATTATTCAATGACAGAAGAAGGATATTTTTTAAGAAAAAAAAACTAAGGGCATTTTAGTCCAAAACACCGGTAATCCAACAATACCTAAGGGAGGGGGTAATGACATTCCCGGTAATATACCCCTAAAAATACACTATTGGCAATAAACATTACCGGTAATGACATTCTTGACCAACCAAACGGAGAAATGTGGATTCTATTAACCAAACACCCCCTACATGTAATATTTTAAGTTTAAATCAAAAATCTTAATTGGGTTAATTACATGAATGATTAATTTTATTTATGTTTTTTTTTATTTGGACTGATTGGCTACATACAGACGTGTGATGTTGGTGGAGGAAAATTATTGTTAGGATCAAAGTGACTCGATTGAACACCCAAAAAATGTGCAAGAGGTGTGAATTGGCAAAAATTATTTAGGAAGTAAAGAGAAATAAAAGATAGAAAGGTTTGCACAGAGATTTATAGTGGTTCGACTTCTCAACTAAGTCTACTTCCACTATCTTAGCTCCTTACTAAGGATTTTCCAACAAATCAACTAATTTGTTCTTTCTTTTTCAAAGATCAAGAGTAACTTTTACAAACTCCCTAGTTTTTCACTTGGCTAAACTATAACCAATCCCATTTACAAAAGGTAAAAAGAAATAAACAAATAAACTTCTTAAAAATAGGGTGTTTACAAAATAAAGCTCACAAAAACAAAATATTTACAAGAGAAATTAAAATAGGAATGAAAAACTATTTTCTTATGTTTAATTATTTGGATAGGTGTTCTAACCCTTCTTCAAGTGTCTTGAACTTATATTTATATTTTGGAATGAAGTTGTGGCCGTTTCTAGCCTTTGGGAGTCTTTTAAAGCCGTTGGAGATGTTTTTCTCTGCAAAACAAAATTACCCAGAACAGAGGGTATCGGTACTCCTATAAGGAATATCGGTACTTCCCTTATATTTTTAAATGAAACTAGTCGTTAACTAGTCGTTGGGCCTGATGGTATCGATACTAAGCCTATGGTATCGATATTATTATGTAAAGTAGTATCGGTACCCCTTTGGGTATCGGTACCATTTTTGTATTATGAAGTTTGAGCAAAGTTGGTAGTATCGATGCTATCTAGTGAGTATCAATACTTTCCTTACCTTTGGTATATGTATCATATGAACAGTATCAATACTGTTAATGAGGTATCGATACTGTAAGAACAATATCGGTATTGCTTGTCCAGGAAAACATTTTGTGCTCAATTCCAAGTTAAATTAACTTTGAATTATTTTTGAAAACTTTGAATAAATTCAATTAAAGTCCAAAAACATTTTGTCTTAATTATTATATCAAAATATAGTTCAACAACTATAGTTTTGACAGGTTGAAGAAAATTAAAAAATTGTCCCTAAAATATTTTTTATTTATAGAAATACTCATAATTATTTTTTTATAAAAAATTCAAGGATTAAAATAAAATTAAATTTTTTTATTAATGTGTCATATTAGTAATTCATTAAAAATTCAACGACAATTAATCTTCAACGATTATATATTAATTAAATAAAAATAAAATAATTAAATATTATATTTTTTAACATCAGTGAAAAAAATGGATAAAATAGAAACGATTATAAATAAAAATTATTATCAATTGTTTAATTTTTAAAAATTGACAAAATAATACTTTAAGTTAAAATTTAAAGTAATATAATATTATTAATTATATCTAAACTATTTTCGCGGTAGCCCAGTTTATCTTCGTCTGAATCAGAAATCTGTTAACTCGCTCGGTGATCTTGTCCTTTTTAGCAACAAAGTATGTTATTGTTTTGAGTAAATTATGTATTTAATCATTCAATTATTTCCACAGTTCTATTTTGATCACTAAATAATTTTCTTTTTCAAAATTATACTTGAAATTACGTTTTAACTCTTTTTTGATCACTTGACTTTTAAGAACTAGAACTAATAATGCGAAAAAATTCAAATTTTTTCAATGGTGACATGACATTACCTTATGGTGATATGTTAATATTATCATTACTTTTTTAAAGTTTATATTATAAATATGTATTTAAACTATATATTTTCCATTTAAATACATAAAGTATTTTTTTATCAAAATAAGTACCTAAAATTATATTTTTAGTCAAAATAGGTATCTGAAATATTTTTTTCATCGAAGCACCTAAAGTATTTTTTGGGTCAAAATAAGAATCTAAAGTTATCTTTTAGTCAAAATAGGTATCTAAAGTGTTTTTGGTCAAAATAGATATCTAAAGTATTCAATTTTTCGTCTAAGTACATAAAGTATTCTTTAATTAATGTGATGTATCAAATTTTTTAGAACTTAGATGAAAAATATTGAATATTTTATTACTTATTTGAACAAAAATATCTATTTTGACATAAAATAATTTTAGATACTTATTTTGACAAAAAAAAAATATTTTAGATACTTAATGATATGTTTTATACATTTGTCGCGGCCGTCTTTCGGGTGGGTCCGAAATTGGGTTTCGACTTGGATTAAACGAGTTGGAGTCACTACCGATCATTTATTTTAAAACAAATGGGTTGATCGGATACCCTATTTCTTACCTGATCTGCGTCTTTCCAAAGATGTGTCAGATTCGGGAGTCGGTTACAGTCAAGGAAGGGTTAGCACCCTTGAACTGCCCTTTCGGTATTACGCAATTTCCAGTTGTCTTAAATTAAGAAAATTATAATTTAAAATTAAAAGGTACAAATACGATCCCAATTACTTACCTTAGATGATTTTAAAGGTGTACCCTTAAGAGAGCCAAAAAATGTGTTAGATAAAAAGGTAAGAAATAAATAAATTAAATTAAAATGAAGAAAAAATAAATTAAATAAAAGATAAGATAAAGAAAGCAAAGATAAAATAGTAAATAAAATAAATATATATATATAAAATATAAAAAAAATAAAAAAATATATAAATATATAAATAAAACAAATAAAACAAATAAATAAAATAATAAAAAGAGTAAAAATAATATATATATAATAAATAAAAACATAAAAAATAGTATATATATATAAATTAATAAAACAGATAATAAAAAATAACATATATATATATGTAATCTAAAAAATAAAAATATATACTAAAGTAAAAAAGAAAATGCATAAAATGTAAAAAATATTACATGAAAAAAAAAATAACAAAGCAATTACATAAAATGAGTAATAAGGGAAATGTGCGCATAAATAAAGTTAAATAAATAAAATAATAATAATTAAAATGTAAATGTAAAGGGCCGAATCAAAAGGAAAAATAAATCGATAGGCAAATTTCGAAGCAAAAACAAAATTGATTTTGGGGGAGAATTGAATATTTAAAAATAGGAACACACCTCGGGGGTAGATCTAGGTTCGAAATTTCGAAACCCCACCTCTTTTTGGTCATCGACGCAACCCACGTTTTGAGTTATTCGAACCAAATTTCAAGAAAAATAATATGCACATGCGAGAAATGAACGAATCAAAGTAAAAAAGATGTTACCTTTTATTTCTTTTTCGAATAGTTTACAATAGCTTTGCCTTTGTATTTTTTCGTGTTTTCCTTTGTATTTTATATGTAAATCATGTGTTACAATAGTGAGTTACAATGACTATTTATAATGCTTGTGGATCATATTTTTAGGAGTTTGAATCATAGTAAAACTCTATTATATTTTTAGGGGTTTGAATCCTAGTAAAACTCTATCATATTTTTAAGAGTTTGAATCCTACTAAAACTCTAACGTTTGTTTTCTGAATCCTACTAAATCGGGGTTGTTGAGAGTGTTGTACCCGGACGAAAATGTGTGTTGACAATATTTATTTGCTATATAATTTTTTTAGTGATGAATGATAAAAACATATAAAAGATAAATTTAGTTATAATTTTAAAGGAAAAATAGTGAGATGACTAAGCAATAATAGTTGGGTGATAAAATAATGTAGTTTATCTTATTATTTTTGTACCTAGATCTCTCTACTCTTAGAATTTTTGCAATTTAGTCCTATTTGTTTAAAATTTATTCATATATGACATGGAGAAACGGATGGGAATAACGGCAGGGATATGCATTCTGGTAGAGAACAAACCGGAAATTAAAGGTGACCGTTACGAGGCAATCTACAGCTTTTACGTCGGAGACTACGGTCACATGACGGTGCAGGGACATTACTTGACCTACCAGGACACGTGTCTGGCTATTACTGGTGGGTCAGGCATTTTCGTGGTCGTCACCGATCAGGTTAAGCTTCGCCAAATTGTGTTTCCCTTCAAGATCTTCTACACGTTTTATTTGAGGGGAATTGGGGAACTCCCGGCCGAGCTTCTTTGCGAGCCGATTGAGCCACACCCAGCCGTTGAAGCCGTTCCGGCGGCTAAGGCTTGTGAGCCACATGCCCGCATTACAAATTTCACTAATTAAATTGTTTTAAGGGTAAACTACACATTTAATGCCAAAACTATCAATTTTATTTTGTTTTAGCACTTGAACTTTCATTTGTTTCAAAATTATATTTCACGTTTAGTTTTTGTTTCATTTACTACCCGATGTTAAAAACATAACGGCAATATATTTTTATGGGTGAATTACATCATTCATCACTCACTTATCCTCTTACTCCTATTTTGGTTACTAAACTTTAAAAAAAATAATTTAACTACTCAACTTTCAAATTACTCTTATTCTAATCACTCTAATTTATTTTATTAATAATTTTTGTGACGTGATATTTTTATCATTATTTTATTAATATTTAAATTTTAGTGACCAAAATAGAAATGAGAAGATAGTTGAATGATAATGATGTAATTTACTCATAAAAATGTGTCACTTACACCAGTTCTGTTAGGTTTAAGTTCTATTAGATTTTTAATGGCAAGGTACAAAAACTAAATAAAAAGTAAAAGTATGATATTGAAATAAATAAAAGTTTAGATACTAAAATAGAATAAAACTGATAGTTTAAATACTAAACGTGTAGTTTACCCTTGTTTTAATGTTATGGTTTTAGTAAATTGTAATGTTAATGAGGTAAATCGGGTTGCTCTTTTGCTTGCACTATTCATGATGTGAAGGATAATTTTGGGAATAAAAAGTATAACATATGGATGGGCATGGGTCGGGTTGGGTCGGGTTTTTGGTCCACCCGACCCGACCCGATAATAAGGAGTCCTCCACCCGAGACCTGACCCTACCAAAACAAGTTTTCACCCGACCCACGACCCGACCCGAAATAATAAAAAAATATTTTTATTCAATAAAAACAATGACTTAATTGAAAAAAAATAATATATAGAGGGGTATTATTGTAATTATTCATAAATATATAAGGTAAAATTATAATTGGGTCGGGTCTGATATTTTTCACCCTAAACCCGAACATCACATTAAAAAAACTCGACCCAACCCGAACCCACTTTTTTAAAAAAATTAGACCCGATCGAGTCGGGTTCGAGTCCCATGCTCGTCCCTAGTATAACATCTATTTTATATTAATATTTTTTTATAGAAAGGTGATAGTTTTATTAAAAATTGAAAATATTCAGAATTATAATAAAGATTTACAAGTATAATCGTAAACCAAATATAATTAAGACATTTTTCTATAAGCATTGTCACAAAAAACTTGTAACATCACAAAAATGGGGCTAGTGACTAAAACGTAAGTTTTTAAAACTTGGTGATCAATTTAGGAAAATTGAAAAGTTTAGGGACTTAATTGGAGTATTTTGGTGTTGGATTTAATAACAAAGTTTGAAAATGGAAAGGGCATATTGGTCTTTTAGCAAGTAATGATTTTAAAATGTTTAATTGGGGTTATTTATCTTCGCGTAGAGAAGAGTGGGAGGAAATCCAGAATTTTCTTCCTCTTTCTTCATTATTTCTTCCTCCTCTCTATGTGAGTGCTTGGATAAGGTAAGGAGTATTCCAGTTGATTATTTCTTATAATTTTTTAGTATTTTTGACTCTTGGAGTATTAGGAAAGTTTAAGGAAAGCTTAAGGCCGCTTAAAACTCAAAGATGAACTAGTTATGAAAGATTGAAAGTAAAAGGTTTTGGAGTGAAATGTTGAAAAAGAGTTTGTAAATGAAGGTTGAGGTTAAATTTGACTTGTCATGAGCTGAAATAAGAAATCTAAAGTGTTAGAAATGGATTTAGAACATGTTGAATAATTGGTCTGATTTTTATTTCCAAGTGTTCTATGAGGATTTTGGATGTTTAAGTGTGTTTAAGTGATATAAGGTAGTTTTAATAAGTATATTTGAGTTTAATGAATTGAAAGGAGTTAGCAGAGTGGAAGTTAAGTAAGTTTTGGAAAATTTTCGGGTAAAATAAATAAGTTATGGGCTTGGGGTATCAGTATTGTTCATCCAGTACCGATACTTCAAAGTAAAATGAGTATAATTTGAGCTTGGGGTATCAATACTGAAGGAACAATATCCATACTATATGATAAAAATATGATGAAATCTTTAAGAAGTATCAATACTTAAGGAGTAGTATCGGTAATGGTTATGGAAGGTATAAATACTGATATGGGGGTATCGATACCAAGGGTCTAGTATCGATACCATTAGCAAGTTATAATTCCATAATGTAAAAATGGTATCGGTATCGGGGGGTATCGATACCATAGAAGGGTAGTATCGGTACGATAGTGAGAGTATCGATACTATTAAGCTTGAAATGCTAAATTAAATGTTTCTTTCAGCTTAAGTTATATTGATTGGTTATAAGAAATTCGAACTTCGATATTCATATAAGACGTATATTTGTGTAGATATCGATCGAAGACAAGTCCAAGACGATTCGAAGCTATAAGAGTGTACAAGAGTTATAAGTGTTTGAATTGACTAGTGAGGTCAGGTGAGTGCATATTAGTTGGTATATGATGTTTTATGGAAATAAGACTTGCGACGAGTCTGTTTCCTGTATTAGAATAAGTGAATCCATGAATATAAGTATGTGTTTGATATGATTATTATGTGTGCTTGAGTACTTGAAAATGAGTATATGTGTTGTATGTTATTGAATATGTTACATGATCCATGTGAATACATGTTTATGTGATAAACCATGTGGATTGGTATAAATGATATATGTGATTACATGAGAATATAATATATGCTATGTGATATGAACATGTGATATAAGCTATGTGCCAAGGAATTATGTGATTATATGTCTATGTGATATGTGACTATATATGATACATGATATATGTGATCATAAGAGAACAAAGTATAAGTTATATGATACAAGCTATGTGATTACATGTTATATGAGATGAACCTATGTGATATGCTATATATGACAATGAGCTATGAGACTATACGAGAATGTTACATGATCTACGTGATAAATTATGAGACTACATATGAAATGATATAAGTTATGTGATGATTTATGTGACTATGTGATAAATATAAATGATAATGCCCATGTTATGTGATATGAGAGCTATGGGTATAGTTGGCATGCCAAGAGTCGAGGGTTCTACGCGGTCCTTCGGGACATATATGTGATCCTTTGGAACATATATGCATTCCTTCAGGACATATATTTGGTCCTTTTGAACATATATGTGGTCCTTAGGGACAATTCTATGTGGTCCTTAGGGATATATATGTGGTCCTTCGGGACAATTCTATGAGGTCCTTCGGAATAATTTTATATGGCACTCAGTACAACTTATACGAGTTGTGGTGACAACATTTGTGCACAACCTCAATGCACTCACATATCTTTAGTTCTCACAAGTGTACTATGGGCAAATAAAAGACATAACATAAATAAACCTTGTGTGATGTTATGTGTGTTTCTTGGTGAAATGTGTTATATGAATTGTATAAATGATAAGTACAAGATTATATGATAAATGGGATTAATGATAAGAATATTAATTATGATAATGATAACATATGTGTATGTATGCATTTTGTTATATGTAATATTATATGATTTTGTATGATATGATGATATGAAATGTAGGTTCACATGTAGGTTCCGAGAGGCAAGAAGAGGAGCAATGATAGGCAAGTCAGTTCAGCTTCTCCTTTCCAAAGATCATATCAGAAAAGTATTTGAATAGTCTGTATTTTGTAATAAGGAATGTAGTTGGCATGTAATTAAAGATTTGAATTGTATACGCTCTGATCAGTTTTGTAAACCTTTTGGTTGAAATTGTATAAATTATGCAGTTTTATTTAATATAAGTTGGAATTTTCATTATCTTGTACAAGTATATGCTTTGAAAAGTAAATGTTACAAAACGAATCACAAAAGATGATGAAGCTATTGAGAGACCATCGACAAATCACAAATTAGAATCGAGTGACGTAAGAAAACTATCCACGAACACAAAACTCGTATGTAAATCAATCCGATGGTCCAAAGTAGGGAAGATGAACATAATAACAAATAAGCTTCATCTTGATTAGTTGTGGCGTTGTCAAATCCGACCCTAAAAAAAGATAAACGAAAGCAACGGCCAAACGACTGAAAACTACCAAAAGACATAGAAAAATGTGCCACAAAGACATAATTAATCTTATTAAAAACTAAACAAGAAATAAAGAGAGAAAACAACTGGTGATAAAAAAATAAGCATCAAAATTATTGTCACTGTCTGCTAGAGAAAATAAAAAAAAGAAGTTAATTTGATATGCAGAAAATAACACAAACTATAAAAGAAAAAAAGGGGAGAAGGGAGGGAGAGAACGACTAAAATTATAATAGGCTTGAATTATTTTATATTAATAACTTAAATTTTAATTGAGTTTGATGTTAAAATTAATGAGGGAATAACATCTAAGATGAACGTCATCTTCAAAAATTATACATTCATTACAAATACAAGTTAAGTGGTGACACACATGAGTGAAGGACTTGTCTTCCTTTATTCGACAAGAAAGGAAAACAAAGATTTTATGAAAGACTCAATTAGGCGTGAAAATAAATCGTGTTAAACGAATAAAGTTACGTTGATGTTGTTTATCTGTTTGTTAAGCTTTTAATGTTGGGTTGTTTTTCGTTTAAATTTTTAGTATCGTGTTCGTTCGTGTAGCGTTCATGAATTTATTTGTTTAATATTTTGAATATGCTTTTAATGTTCACAAACATATTTACTGATAATGAACTAACCCTCTCCTTTTATTTGTAAGCAAAAGAAAAATGATAAAATTACACCACTAGCCTTTAAGTTTCTTAAGCTTCACAATTTGAAATCTAGAATTCACCTTATGTTAAATTTAACTCATAAATTCACCAATATTTAATATATATATATAAAGAGAATCGAGTAAACGAGCTTATAAACAACCAAGTAAACAAGCTTATAAACAAATCGGTAAACGAGTTTGTTTGTGAACATAAACAAATCAAACACACTTCTATTAGTGTTCGTTATTAAATATATATAAAA